TGAATCACACTTGATAATTCTATCAAAAGTTTTTTTTAATTTGATATAAAAATATTTATGTTCAGTGTAGGACTGTTCCTGACAGAATGAAAGTCACATGAAAGTTCTTGGAATCTTTACTTATCTAGCAGGAACTCATTAGAGTGAAGTGTTAAGATTGAAATGTTGAAAGCATGGTATGAAAATAATATGCTTACAAAAGTGACTGGCATTGAGAAAGCATTGACTAAATATGCTACTGATAGTACTGCTGCCATACTTTCTTAACCTCATTCCAAATTTTTTATTATTTTATTAAATATAACTTGGAATTCTGTAAAACATTTAATTATGCCACAACATGTCTTTTATACTTTTCTATATCCACTCCTAAGGTTGTTAGAATTTCTGTGCTCTCATGTTCTAACAACAAATGTTTGTTTATTAGTCAACTCTTGACACCAATATCTTCTCCTTTTTATAACAATACTTAGTGCTGATATTGACCTTCTTTATTTGGGTCCCAAAGACAGACTTACTGTGTAATGAATACAACCAGTTAGAAATAATAAGTCAATTAAAGTTTAATATTCCCTCAACTGATTAAGTATTAGAGTCATATAAATTTGAATGCATATGTACATTCCATTGCTCTGTTGGTGGTTATTTGCCCATCATTAGGTATGGAAATATAGGGTTAGGAAAAGTAGACAACTAATCTAGGAAAAATGGTATTAGTCTTAGTATATTGATGTAAAAACTTCATCTGTTTTTATTACTACTTCTTCCTCTGTTAAGACTTCATAGAATATTTGAAGAATTTTATTGCTGAAGAGAGAAGAAAAAAATGTGGAAATACCAATTAGACCAAGAGAAAATCAGAAATACTTTTTAAATTCCTCATATCACAGTCCAATCCCATTAAGTGTTAATCTCCCTCTCAGAATATCCTTTCAATGCTAAGACTAATTTGGAGCTAGCACCTTATGTATAATTATCAATTCAACTCCCCATACTCCCATTGTATCTCGTGTAAACAATGTCTGTCTCCAACTCATACACACTTATTGGAATTCCTGAAGACATAATTAAAATTCAAACTTTTTGTAGTGAAAGTGATAGTAAAGTTTATTGATTGAAAGTGAGTCATCTCTAAGGAAAGAGAAAAAGAACAGCCAAATTCAAAACTTCTTATATGCATGTGTCTATTTATGTATTCCATACATACAAAGAAATCCATTCCCATAGATATCAACAACATATCAGACCCTAAGAGGGGTAAAATAAAATTCTCTTTAGGAAAGAATCAAAAAACAAAATCCTCTTCTGCAGGCCAAAACTTTTAGCCAATTGTCCTGATAACTTCTCTCTAGCAATTAGTTTAGAATTTATCACTGGTTCTCTATAATCTCTGAGATTAAAGCAAAGGAAAAAATACTGTTTTTTTTTTATTGCATATCAATGAGTAAAGCCTCCAGCCAGAGATACTTGGTTTGAGTTTTAGAATTGAGGTTGAACCATGGTTAATTACTGGAATATGCTCTTTTGAAGGATTAACTTCCTTCAAGAACTCTTATTTATATTGGATACAGGAAGTGATTCACCAAAAATGAAATAGTTTTCAGGAAAATATACAGGGACAATTAGCTTTACTTACATCAAAAATGATTTTAAACCTCAGATATATACACCTTACACAAAAAGGTACTCAGAATGGATCACAGATTTAAATGTAAGAGCTAATCTATGAAAATATAGTGTATCTATAAAAATTATAAATTACACTGAAGCAAAACTAAAGAACTTTGCACCTCAAAACACATGCTCGAGAGTGTGAAAACACAACCTGTGCACTGGGAGAAAATATTTGTACATCATATATCTGCTAAGGGTCCCATCTACCTTACAACTAAATAATAAGATAAGAAATACAATACTATCAGTCATTAGGTATTAGAAAAATGTAAATCAGAATGTAAGACTCACAGCCACTAAAATAACTAGAATCAAAGGAAATAAAAAACAATTATAGATGAGTCTGTGATGAAATCTCAACCATTGTTAGTGAGAATACAAAATGTCTCAGCAGCTTTGTATAATAGTTTATCAGTTTCTCAAAATGTTGAAAATACAGAATTAACATATGGACCACTTATAGGAATCTACCTAAGAGAATTGAAAATTCATGTTTGTGATAAAGCGAGAGCACACAAGGAAGGTATGAGAATAGGTAAGACACCTAAAAAACTAGATAGCATTTGTTGCCCTCAATGCAGAGAAACTAAAGCAGATACTTTAAAGAACTGAGGCCAATAGGAGAAGGGGACCAGGAACTAGAGAAAAGGTTAGATCAAGAAGAATTAACCTAGAAGTTAACACACATGCACAGGAAATTAATGTGAGTCAACTCCCTGTGTAGCTATCCTTATCTCAACTAGCAAAAACCCTTGGTCCTTCCTATTATTGCTTATACTCTCTCTTCAACAAAACTAGAGATAAGATCAAAATAATTTCTTCCTAGCAGTGATGGGGTGGTATATGAATCGGTATATCGTGGTGGAGGAGTACCTGGTGGAGAAGAACTATTTACCTCATGGACCAGGAAACTTGAAACACTAGCAGCCCAGGGTCCAACAATTTCCTTTGAAGACACATCTGTAAATATCTAAATAAGTATGATTTTAATTGAACATACTATTTCTCAGATTTATCCATGTTGTAACATTACCCAGTACATTTGTTTATGAAAGGTCTACCATTGTATATGTATTTTTAATTTGTGTAGTAATTAGTTATTGGATATGTGTATTTTTCACTGTTCTTTGGGAATTATTAGCAATTGTTAACAATGCCATGATAAATATCCATGTACAAACATGAATTTTCTTTTTTTTTTATTCATATGTGCATACAATGTTTGGGTCATTTCTCCCCCTTTCCCCCACCCCCTCCCTTACCCACCCCTTCCCCCTTTCTTCTCCCCCCAACCCCTTGCTACCCGGCAGAAACTATTTTGCCCTTATCTCTACTTTTGAACTCAGGGTTTCATGCTGGCAAAGTAGGTGCTCTAATCCTTGTGTTATGTATGCCTCTTGTCCATTTTGCTCTGGTTACTTTAGTGCTGGCCTCTGGTGAATTATTTGCCCAGGCTGTCCTCAAACCATGATCCTCTGATCTCAGCCTCCCAACTAACTAGATTTCAGGCATAGGCCACTAGCACCCAGCTAATTCTGTTTTCTTTATTAATTAATTTTCTCAGTTTGTTTTTGTGATAGAAAGCTTAACACAGAGGATGAGGTTTGCATTATTGATGGGTTATTTGTAATGGTGGAACATGGATCCAAGTTTTTCTCCATGGACAGAACTTAGATTTTACAACTATATTTATTTCTGTAACTATGTACATGGTTTGCAAACCATGAGTGAATATTTATACACTCCATTCTCATTATTCATGGTAATTTGTGACATATAAAGATGACATAAACACTAAATGACTAAATGAGTTGTAGCTGCTAACGAAAATACAGGGTTCTCTTCCTAGAAGTCTGTGGTCACAATATTTTTCTCAAATGAAATGCTATTTGTGTTACTCAGGTTTATTTACCGGTGTCCTTGTCAATACAGAAAGCATGCTCATCCACAAAATATGTGTTGGGTAGAACTTAGTGTTTTCCCCCTCAGTCCCTGATCTGAAGCCTTTTCTTGCTTAAGTTTATTAGTATTTTCATTTGATTGCCTTTTGAAACATCTTGTGGGAACTAGGAAAGATTTCCTTTCCTGACTAAATATCATGTGCTTCAGTCTCTCAACAATGCTATCCACTATTCTGTTTCAGTGCATGTTTATCTCATACATCCATAAATTTCCATAAATTCATCAAGCAGGATAGCTGTTTCTTTAGTACTTTAAAAATTCTATACCTAGAGATAGGAGAATTTCCTTTTACTATTTCTGGAGCCATGATGTTATCTATTTATCAACATTGAGTCACAGCCAGTAGCACTCCAACTCATGCCTCCATGGAGCTTATGTAACACAAGTATTACAGACAGCACATTAATACCTTCTTATACTTAGACACAAGACTGCACTTCAACCTACACGTGAGGGCCGTTTCAACAAGAAAGTGTCAAAAAATAAACCTCCATAATTCTTTAAATCATGGCACTAAATGACCACAAAAAAAATACCATTTTACAGTATGAGAGCTGAAACAAGAAAGTAGAGTATGACCTACTTCAACCTCACTATTTTCATCAGTTGATTTAACGTTTTCGCCTGTCTGGTCATGTGTACCAAGGACCGCATAATTTCAGTGTTAGCTTTGGAGTTACAAATAGTTCCAGTTGGCTAAATTTTATTTAGATTTATTTAGATCTATTTATTTAGATTGCTTCAACCAATTAACTTCCTTAAGGATCATATGATTGTTTGTGGGAAGTAAAAAAATGATTGCATTTGTCTGGCTTCATTCAGCAAAGATAAAATCAGCTATGTATTTCACATTCTCCAGAGAGTGAGGACAGCCATAGCAGAACTATACCCTGGGATCATGTCTTGGATTCCCTTAGGATTCAACACATACTCCAGGAAGTATAGACTGAAATCTAAATCCCATGTGTTCCTTAGCATTACTGGTTCTGCATAAAACTCTTCGAAACTCTTGCTCCAGCATCACTAACACTGCAAGTTCCATGTCTACACAACAGATTTACACCCTAAAGTAAAAGGTAACAGGTCTGTGTTTACCACCATTATGATTATAGAAACTAATATATTTTATTGTCTTCACCAAAGTTGATGAACATTACTAGAAATTAAACATCACAAAACTATGTAATTTGATAAAAACTTTCTAATAATATTTGCAATGTTCTTTTAATGTCTGCTTTCTCTCCTCTCTGTCTCTCTGTCTCTCTCTTTTTTTGAGACAGCCAGACTGGCCTGGAACTCCATAACCACCAGCATCAGTCTGCCTAATGCAGGAATTACAAGTGTATGCAAGCATGCCTGAGTCAATGTCAGTTTACTCTGTCTCAAACTTGAATAGCTCCAGATTTGCTCTCACTGGTTTTCCTGGCCTAGAAATTTACTATGTCTGGTTCTCCATCCCTTTCTCCCTCATCTATGCCATGGTGTTCCTGGGAAACTGCATGGTGCTCCATGTAGTCAGAACTGAGCCAAGTCTGCACCAGCCCATGTTCTACTTCCTGACCATGTTGGCTGTCACTGACCTGTGCATGGGGCTATCCACTGTACACACAGTGCTGGGCATCCTGTGGGGTTTCACTGAAGACATCAGCCTTGATGCCTGCATAGCTCAGTCCTATTTTATTCATGGTCTGTCCTTCATGGAGTCCTCTGTCCTGCTCTCCATGGCGTTTGACCGCTACGTTGCCATTTGTAACCCACTAAGCTATTCCTCCATCTTAACAAATGACAAAATCATGAAAATTGGGGTAGCAATCTTATGTAGGAGTTCTTTGCTCATTCCTCCTGTCATCATCAAGCTGAAATTCTTAGATTACTGCCGTCCTCATTTCCTCTCTCACTCTTTCTGCCTGCACCAAGACTTGATTAGAATGGCCTGTTCAGACATTCGCTTCAACAGCATCTACGCTCTGGTTCTGGTGATCTGCACACTCTCGTTGGATGTGGTGCTCATACTTACATCCTACACCATGATCTTGCACACAGTTTTAGTCATTGCATCCCGGGAGGAGAGAATCAAATCCTTGCAGACTTGTGTATCTCACATCTGTGCTGTTTTGGTTTTCTACATTCCAATCATTGGTCTGACTATGGTACATCGGTTTGGGAAACACCTCTCACCAATGGTTCATGTCCTCATGGGCAATATCTATATCCTTTTCCCCCCCTTGATGAATCCCATTATTTATAGTATCAAGACCCAGCAGATTCGACTGAGAATGCAGAGATTGCTCTACTTGAAAAGAGCCTAAGTTCTGAGATTAAATATGAATATATTTATAAAAGTCAACAAGTAGAGTTCAAAAGGATGAGACTCAGTAAGTACCCAAAAACATATTTACTAACTTCTTTAATGATAATTACATACTGCAAATACTTTCCTTTCTTGTTTCCCATAGTTATCATAAATAAGAGTGAAATTGACATGTATAATTTTGTGCTAAAAATTATAAATCACACTATATATGTATAATTGATTGAGAATCATATTAATGATAAAGTAGATTTGCTAGTAAAACCCATACTTAATATGGCCAGTAAAGGTATAGTATTTCTCTATCCACCCATATGCAAAGGTTTAGTTTTGTGATGAAAGCATGAAGGTAATTACTAAAAGATCAGCTGTTATCTTATTTCAGTCTCATTAATCTAAGCAAAGTATTTATTGAGTCATAATCCCTGCTCCCATTTTTCCACACGACCATACAGTGGATTGAGTATCAGAATGAGTTTAGACTATTCATTCATTTTAAATGTAGTGAAACAAAACAACTAATCTTTATTGTCAATTGTCCACTAACAGAACAATCTCTCCAGTGCAAGCATGTGAGCAATAATTTAACTGGAAATATAAACAACCAGTAGTTTGCAAAGCAGACAGTTTCATAATTTGTTTAAATGATAATACCAATAGTGACTTCCATTAGAAGACCATTTGAGTGCTGGGAGCATGCCTCAAGAAGTAGAGCATTTGCCTGAGAAGTTTAAGGCCCTGGATTCCATTCACAGTACTGAAAATAAAAGGATAGAAGAACACTCAAATCACTTGACAATGTTAACTATGAGTCCATATTTTATCATATTTCATTTCAACGCCTCTCTTCAGTTTAAAAATAAAGTGCCTATCATTTTGAGGGGATTCTATTATAAAACATTATTTGACAAATAATCACTGTTATACATTGAGTAAAAATATAATTGGTCTTGTTTGGATATAATTTTAAGATATCGAGTGTTGAGATATTTGTTTGGAGCAATAGTTTTCTATCCCAAATGTTTAAAGCAGAACGTTAAACCAATATCTCAGTAGGTACTCACAGGGCCATATTTTCAAAATTAAGTTGAGTAATTAGGGAAAGAGTACTAGGAAGTACCTGGGTTTTTATAAATATTGTGAATACGTTTCTCATTTAATCTCTCCATAAAAGGTCTGTCGCTATTATTTTCTATTTATAAATAGATTTTTTTTAATCCCAGTATATTGAATGATACGTCAGATTTTCAGAAGGCAGTTCATGATGAGATTTGGGTGTGTTTTCTGTTTAGTTAGTTTTAAATCACAATAAAATTCTGTCTTGTTTTCCTTCAGTGATTCTCTTAATAAAAAATTTTACATGGTTAAAGACCATATAAACTGTTTAGTATAAAAGTATAAAAAGTCACCAAAATTAATCATGGATGTATCTAAGTATATACATTTTGACTTTACATGTATATTTTGCTCAAAATATAATTTATAAAATGATCTGTATAAAATTTTAAAATGTCTTAAAGCAGTTTTATTATATAATTACAAAAAGCAATTATACCTTGTAAGATGGATATGTATAGTTTGAAAAGTTTTAAGAATATATTTTTAAATATTTTAATTGCATAATAACCACGACAATCAAGGTATAGAATGTTTCCATCATCCTAAAAAGTGCCCTTTGCCTGTGTTTCATCCATCCTCGTTCCCAACTTCAAGTTCCTGACAAGTTTCTGTCTTATAGATTTGCCTTTGAAGAAATGCTGTGCAAATTGAATAGTAACTAATATAATCATTTCAGCAGGATTATTGAACTTGCAATGATGTTTTCAAGGTTCTTTCTTATTTCTGCTCCTATCAATAATTCATTTTTAAAATTTCATTTCTTGTCACTGTTCCATTGTTTCGTAAAAAAACTGGTTATTCATTCTTCAGTTAAATTATTTTACTGTTTTAATTTTGAATAAAGCCGATATATACATACACCCCGTGTGATGAGGATATTTCCTAATTTGATAGCTTTTGTTTTTATGGTTATTTCTTTACTATTATGAATAGAACAATTATCACAGAATAATTTTGATAGTCTTCAAAATAAAACTTAGCTTA